TGTACAGTATCGTTTAGCTAGAAAAACGCTACCAGGGCCGTCTCTGTGACGCAAGCAAAAGTAAATAGAGCTTGTTTCCGCACATCATGTGAACTATAATTGTTTCTAAAAATGGTGTTATATGCATCAAAATGTCTGTAACTTGTAGATTTCAATTTTAACATATAATGTTGTTCTTCATTCTACCTGCCGTCTACCATGCAGTATTGCAGCGGAATTTTTAAGAGACACCGTTAGCCGCCGACTCAATCATGCTAGTGTGAAACATTCCGCATGTATCTACCGTTATGTCGATTTTCTGAATAAATTCCTTCTGTTATGTTCACATTACTCGTCCATGTTATGAGGTGACAGAAAACAGTTATGAAACTTGTAGGTGCGACATATTCTCTTCAGGACCCTTTTTATATCAGCTCTTGTTTTGGAAGATACCAAAATCAAAAGGTTTTAAAACGTGAAAATACCCTCCTCATCGTAAAAAATAAACTCACTACCGGGACGACCTATTCTATTTTGGCTTCTCCGTTTGCTATTCGAATTTCATCCTTTTGAATCCCAAAATTTCACACTTCGGTATCTTCATGTAGTTTAATTCAATTTGCGTAACCAAAACTGGGGCCCTTCACTGCCGACAGTCTCCTGGATTCCCAATTTCGTGTAGGGCTTTCTTTTTTAAACCATCTAGTAAGCACTGAAACTTTTTGTAGGATCCTGGTCTCTCCTCTTCCGAATGATGGGTCTTCAAGAATGTCGGCTACTGTTTACGCTGAATTTGTTTTCGGTGAGGATAGTGCAGTCGAGATCACACATGCACAGTTAGTTCATATATGTGCTCTCGGATTGCCACGTTGCCACATTTTTGCTGCTGCAAATGACATTTTGGCATCAGTCTTTACTTACTTTCCTTTTCTACTAAGAGACATCGCGCTATGCAGTCTGGTGTTTTCGACAATATTTGATCCTGTCGGCCGTTTGTTGCCACCAAAGCGAACTAAGTGTATTAACAACAGGACACTCTCAAAATTAACTTGGCTTATTCAGGTGCTATTTACCGAGTTCCTCACTTCGATCTAACAGAATGCTAAAACTGTTCTAGTTCTACTATGTACACGACAGTTCCACTCACGCTTCCTTCTTTCAGCTGCTTGTACTGTCCGTACAATGAAGTCTGACGTCGCTTCGAAAAATTTGCGGAGTGTCGCCGCAGACGCTGTAGAGAATTGCAAGGCTGATGAATCGCCGCTCTTGTCTGTTGCCGATGTGTCACCTCCTCCCCAATTAAACTTCAAGCAGACTGCTTTCATCCGTGAGAGTCATGGGAAATCTATCTTTGGCCTGGCCTTCAACTCAGCCAATCGCAGCCGGCCAACTGATCCCCTGCTCTTTGCTACTGCTGGTGGTAATCACGTAAGCCCTTAACCATCCTTGCTGTACACTCATGCAACATTGATAATACAGTGAATTCAAATAGTTCCAACCTCGGGACTGAATATTGGATAACCTAGTGCCCCACAACCTTGGTGAATGTTCTGCGTGTTGGCCTAGTAGGCGACATATCTCATAAAACGTTAACCGAGATTCGGTTAGATAGTTTTGCTGGGGTGGGGTTCTAATATTGATTCTCCTGCAACATGACTCCAAGTTATTACATGCGAGTCAGGACGCTGGATTTTTTTTAGCCGTCTAGCATGTATTTTTGTCACTGCTTTTCGATGCAGTCCCTAACACGAGCGTGGTCCAAAAGCAGTGTCAGAAAAATATAATTTTTAATGCTTATGTCGTTAACAAAGATTTTGTCCGTTCAAATAGCATCATACCTGTCCGTTTATTAGTGCTCTTTAGGGAGTCAGCAACAAGGACCATATCCTATATGCGACTTT